TGGGAGGCAAAGGGGTCTAGTTGTTGAGTGGTGGGTTCCCAATGTGTTTTATTATCAAAATGTATACATATATATGTGTGTGTTCTATGTAATCTTTTGCATATATGGTATAATTTATAATGACATATTTTTAAGAAGAAAGACCATATACCATTCGAGGTAACAAGAAAAAGAGCAAATTTCAAAGGTGCATGCAATCTAAAATCATAACTATATTTTACAATCATGTACATGAAAAAAAGATTAGAGGGAAACACACTACAGTGCTGACAGTGTTGAGATTGTGGGTAATATTTTTTTCTTGTCTGTTTCCCAAATTTTCATAATGACAAAAAAATTATAGTAAAACTTTCCCCAAAGAAATCTTTTATTTTCAAATCACTTTCACATCTACTATCTCATTTGATTCTTACAACAACCTAGGGGGAGTCAATGCTAAGTAGTTCCGTTTTATAGACTGGGAAACTGAGACATCATGTTTATGACTTGTATACTCACTGTATACTTACTCAGTTGACTGGAGGTAAACCTGTGAATGAATCCCAGGTCTCCTGAGTCCTGCTAATCCCCTGACTTCCAGGACTTCATTTTGGATTCTGGGGTCTCCAGGATTTAATCTCTCAAATGGGAGTATCTGCTACCTGGGTTTTGGCCCTGTAGACCAAGGTAGATGTCTATGGTTGTTGATGATGGGCTACACGTAAGAAGTCCCCAGAGATGTAATCCATGCCTGGGGTGTTCTGCCACGCCCCTCTCTCACAAGGCACCTAGTCCATGGGGATGAAAACTCTTGGAAGTATTGGAGGTGGGAGAAAGGCTGTGTTTAAGTTGGACAGCATTTCTTAACTCTAGTTTTTGGAGGGGAAGAAAGGTTGCATAAATGGGTCTGCCCCTGTGGTATTCAGTGCCTTACCTATGATGTCTTCTCTCTCCCCATCTCTCTTAGGGAAAGTTGCCAGAGGCCCATAGGGTGGCTTTGGCAGAGGGTCCCCATTCAGGACCATCAGAGCTCAGTCCAAGGCTCCTCACTTCAGAAAAGTTGGGAGCCTTAGAAAGGGGGACTGCCTTGCTCAAGAATATCAAAGACAGAACCAGATCCTGAACCCAAATCCCCTGCTCCTAGCCCAGGATACTTGGCAGGGCCACCCAGCATTGAGGAGAGCCCCAGGTGTGTGGTGGAGTTGCTGTGATGGGGAATGAGGACCGTTCTCATCGGTGTCTGCCTGGGCTCTCATTCCCACCTCCTTATGATTGTCATTCCTGGAGATCGCTCGACTTCATCCACTATTTGCCACTGACAAGGGGTACTGAATGAGTTCCTGGAGAGATTCAGGGGCACCTCAGAAAGCTTTTCTTGATTCATAATTAATTAATGATACCACTATTGAGGGCTGACCGGGTGCCACATCCTCAGAGAAATGTCATAACAATTTTATGCATTAGGCACTATTGTTAGTGCCATTTTTCATTTGAAGAAATAACTTACTTAAGGTGACACAGCATCTAAGTGCTGAATCCAGAATCCAAGTGCCTTCCACACTTTGGTGCCTACTGTGTGATGCTGCACCTGTTTCCTGACAATGCCCATTTTGGACGCTATTAAACTAGCAGTCCCCACATTCAAACTGACTTTGTAGAAAGAGTGGGCTTCAGAAACAGAATAAAGTATAAGAAAATCGACTCCACTCCCGTTTCAAAGCGAAGAAGTAGGTTGAGCTAGGCAGACAGGGCTGGTAGTACTCTGCCGCTCCTCTGGTGGATCTTACCTTGTGTTTCTAGCATTCTGGGTGCGAATACAGTCTTAGGGTTTACAGAACAGAGTAATGGGGCAGAGGAATGTGGGAAGGGATTGTGCACTGAACTAAGAAACTGCTAGAACCATTAAATATCTCGAACTTTTTTTTTTTTTTTTCCGCGTTGGCTCCCTGCAATGTTTTTCTGTTTAGATTTGGTTGCCACGAGTGGGCTGTTTTCAATTACCTAGTTCCTTCCCCTCCCCTTTTAATTTTTTCCCTTCCTTTTGCACATGTCCCAGCATGAAGTCTCCAATTCTTATCTCACTCAGCAAAACATACCAAGGCTGATCCAAATGTGGATTCCCCAGGCCGTTCACCAGCATAAAACCTCAGCAATCTTCAAGTCTCTGCTTAACCGTCTTTCATTGAGGATTAACCCCTGAAATCACCCTAGCCAGGCTTCCTTCTAAGGCAAGACAGCCATTCTTTGGTTTGCGTCGAGAGGAGTTTTGGTGTGGAAAGTTTTTCTGTGCCCTCCTCTGCATGGCACTGGCTGTGTGTGTGCTGAGAGTGTGCACACTGGACATTGGTGGCATTAACTTAAGTCAGGGTAAAATGAGGATGCAAAGGACTCAGATGTTGATCACTCTCCTGTGGCAAAGACCTCAGGGGCTCTGCCTTGCTCTGTTCTTTTCCAGTCTCAATTCAGCAGGCATTTCACGGTTCTCCTGGGGGCTGAGGGGAGGGAGGCAGGCAGGAGTAGCTTTTGTTTTCCTTGGATAAGAGTTTCATTCAAGTGGGAGTGGACTTAGTTCTCTGTCAAGATTCTTATCACTTTCAGGGTTGAGAATGTCAGGATCAGACTTCTGTGAACAGCGGACAGCATTTCTATCCAGGTGTAACTTGGAGATTCCAAACTAAGAGTAATTAGAATGAAGCAAGATTAATAAAAGGAACTGGAGGCACAATGGTAATAAAAATAACCCGACCAGGGTGTTAGGGGCTTCTCCCCCCACCCCAGTTACCCTTTCCTTCCCAAGGCAGAGCCCCTGACGTTTTGTGGAGGCCGGTCTGGCTGTTTATTTACTTGACGACCTAACTGGAATTTCCTCTTAAGGACGGGACCAGATCTCCACAGATTTGGCTTGCGTGTATTAATGGAATCATAGTTCAAGCTGTAAACTGGTGAAAGATTTCTGTTTCACAGCAGAAAAAGAGTAAAAAGCTTCACGTGTTCTCCCTCCTCTCCTTGCTTCATTTTATAATGGTGCTATTTATTCCAGGACAATCTATAAGTAGATAAAATAGCTAAGTAGAGATACCAAATAACTTCATTCAAATGCACAAACACTCCTCCATCTAATCCCGCCCCGTGTTCTCGGGGTTGCTCCGACACGCCCGGGGTTTACCTGCGCGCACTCCAGCGGGAGGGCGGGTTGTGGAGGTGTGCTGCGCGGCGCGCGGGGGTGAGGGCGTGGGAGCGGAGGGTGGGGCCGGGAGAGCCGTTACCAGGGCGAAAAGTAAAGCGAAAACACCCGCCCTGCACTTCCCGCGCGACGCCGCTGGAAATCGGGTCAGGTGCAGAGCCGGATCTCTGAGGATCCCGCGTGGAACCCCAGGGCTTCAGGGCCCGCCGGGGCGCAAAGACTTCCAAGGCCGCCCTCCGCGTGTTCCCAGGCCCATGGGGAGAGGGGTGCTCTGAGTGAGGTCGGGCTAGGCGGCGAGGAACCCCGGTGGGTGGAACTGGGGACTTCAAGTGAGACCCGGGCTCCAGACACCTCTAGTTTCTACCCCAAATTACCAAACTATGACCTTCGGCCGCCTCTCTCCCAGAGGCAGGTGGAAAGGAGGTGTTTCTGCCCTTTGCCGTGCCCCCACACCCTGCGGCCGCGCAAGTCTCCCTCCCAGGCAGGTGCGAAAGTCCCGGGCCACACTTATGTCCACAAATAGTCATCCACAGGCAGTCAAGAAGGTTACTGGTTCTGCCACTCTCTGAGCAGAAACTGTTGGGGTCGGGGAATAAGAATCAGGAAATCGTTTTTAAGGTTTAAACCCAGTTCTGCTGAGGTCTCAGCTCGAATCTCGGCTACGGGGCTCCGCCTTTCCCGCCACCCTGCCTTGAGGGCAGAGGGGATTTCTGCTGCGGGTTCCGCCTGTGGTCAGTGCGTCCCCATTCCGGGCCGTCTGGTCCCAGTCCAGTAGGCTCTGGGAGCAGAAGAACCCGTGAAAGCTGAAGATGGGTTTTCCCTAAATATTGCCTGAGAGCGGGGCGACCCCCAGGCCTGGGCAGGTTCGCGGACCCCAAAGCACCTTCTCTTTCCCCCTAGTCCTGGCTACTGGCTTCCGCCCCCTCCTACGCTCCCACCGGGCTGCCTCTGATTCCTCCGGGACTCCGATCTTTTCACGCTCTTGTTGGTTTCACTGAGACGTTCTTGTCAATTTCAAACGCTTTGTGATTGAAAAAAAAGAACAAAAATCGAATTGATACGGTCCTACCACTCGCCCTAGTCTCGGAGGCCGGAGCTGTCCTGCGTGTGCGTCTATGTGGAGGGTCCGGGGCCGTGGGCTCCGGCGCACGGTGCCAGCAGAGGGCTGCCCTCCGCTTTTGTGTTAACCGGCGGGCTTCTCGCGGTCCCCGCCGCGGAGGTCACATCCGGCGGGTAACGGCGTGGATACACCGAAGGGTGACTTTGGACACCTTCCCCACATCACAGACTAACGCTTCTGCCCCTATTCTGTCCCTGCTAGAGAAGTAGGAGGCCAGTGGGGGAGGGGGTATTTTCCTGAAGCTCCAGAAAATGACCACGCATTTTAGAGAAAGGTCGTGCCCGCTTCCCAGCCTCACCTAGTCTGGGCTGGGGCCGGGACCCGCCTCCCCACCTTCCCCGCCCCCCCTCGCTCCTCAACCTAGCGGAGGGAGAGATGCCAGCGCGGTGGAGTCATGCCGCTGGCTTGGGCACCATTGGTCATGCCTGGAACACGCAGCAGCGAGTACGCACATCTGGCGGCTATCCCAGGCGACTCCGGTCCTGATATGGAGAGAGAGGGCGGGCTGGTGTGTGTCTCAGTAAGCGAGGCTGGGGGAACGCGCCTCTGCTGGCTCCTCCCCGAACTTGCATCACCAGTGCCCCCCCATCTCCACCCGCCTTCCGCCCCGCCTTGGCCCCTCCCCCACCCCCCTTCCTCCGCTCGGTTCGGCCGGTTCTCCCGGGAAGCTATTAATAGCATTACGTCAGCCTGGGACTGGCAACACGGAGTAAACGACCGCGCCGCCCGCCTGAGGGCTATAAAAGGGGTGATGCAACGCTCTCCAAGCCACAGTCGCACGCAGCCAGGCGCGCACTGCACAGCTCTCTTCTCTCGCCGCCGCCCGAGCGCACCCTTCAGCCCGCGCGCCGGCCGTGAGTCCTTGGTGCTCGCCCGCCGGCCAGACAAACAGCCCGCCCGACCCCGTCCCGACCCTGCCCGTCCTCCGGACCCTGGCCGCCCCGAGCGGAGCCTGGAGGTGAGCGCTGGAAGCCAAGGGAGTGAGCGCGACGAGGGCGGCTTGCCTTCATTCCCTTCGCGCCCCTCTAAGTAACCAGTCCGCCGACCCCTGACCCACCCCAGATCCGCGCCCCCAGTCTCCGGCTTGGAAATAACTCTGGCTTTAACTTCTTCTAAGCCACCGCTGCTCCTCGGCGCTTTGAAAAGTTTCCCGCAAAGCGAAAGAACTAACTTTCTCTTTTGACTTGGGGCGCGAAAGGTTCCTGGTGACGGAGGTCGGGCGTCCACTCTGCCGCCAGCCTGGAGCGCCGCTTCTCTCCGCAGACGGCGCTGGCTTGCGGGGCTGGGAGAGGGCGTGAGGTGGGTGGGCGGGTGCGCTGGGGTGTCCGAGGCTGCCCAGCTCGCCGTCCCGCTGCATCCCTCGCTTCGAGACACGGCACTGAGGGAGCCGATCCTTCCCGGGGTCGGCAGAGAGGCACGAAGGCGGGAGGCTTGCGGGAGGGCTGCCCCACGCGCCGAGAGGAATGAATGGGGAAGGGGCAGGAGGGCGGGCGGCGTCGCGTGCGCGGCCGCTGGGGGTCGCCCTGGGCACCCCGGAGCGCTGGCGGCAGGACCGTGAAGGCAACCCCGAGAAAAAGTTAGCTGGGATAAGTTTGGAAGTGGAGAGCGCTGGTGTCGCGCTGTCCCAGGGCGGACGACGGGAAGGGCTCCCGGCACCGGTTGGTGTCTGGAACCTGAGCCCGGGACTCCCACACACCTGGGACTCTCACTCTGGCTTTTCCTTCGGCGGGTCCGCGGGAGACCCACCGTGGCGGGGAAGCGAGGGTGTGGAGCCAGTTGTGCAGATATTTGAGAGAATGGCTTTGTGGTCTAGTGCCAGGACTCTGAGCGCTTACACTGCAATCGATGTCGTTGAGCCTCAGTATGCCGAGCCGGGAAATAGGGGCACATGGGCAGTACCGGCCCCCTCTGCGTGTTGGAGGGCACAATGCAGTGGTTGGACCAGATAACTGCTAAGGTCCTTTCTGTCTGGAGATTTTCAGATTCTGGGGTGGTGTAGTGGGAAGAAAAGGAGCCAGTGAGGGGACTTGAATGCTGTGGGTCTCTATCCAATGTCATTGACCGGTGTCCAGACAGTGGGGGAAAGGGGACTTTTCTGCAGGGCATCTTCCCTCACCAGTTTTCTTTCCACTGGATTCCTTCTCCTTCTCCGCTCCTCCTATCCCCATTTTTGTCTCTCATCTACTTCCTTTCCTCCTAAACATTTTCTTTTCCCTAATTTCATTGCAGAGGTCACATATGCTTTCTTACAAATAAAATAGTTACTAAATCCTTGATGAAGCCAGAAAAAAAAAAAGGAGAGCCAGAAAATCTGGATGTTCTCTCAATGTACCCCTTTCGTTGTAGGTGACAGTCATATCTTCTGTTCGAAGTTTCTGTCTCCACAACTTAAAGTGAAGGCAAAAAATTGGTATTACTGTCCCCATTGTTTTGCAGTTAGCATTGGTTGTAGAATAATGCTACAACATACAGGCTCCTGCTTTGAGGATATCCTGGCCAAAGATGGGATGAGGTGAGGATTGCAGTTACTGTCAGAATTGTTTCAGAGACAGCAAAGAAAGCAGCACCCCACGCCCGCAGTGGGGATAAGATACAGCACCCAGCATCTGTGGCAGTGCTGGGAGCCTTCTTTTTCTCTCTCTTCCTCCTTGCCCTTTAGCCATTATAGAATTCCTTTCTCTCCATGGCCCTTTTCTTCGATAGCCCCTCCCTATCTCAGTCCTGTCAAAGTCTCCTTTGTGGTTGGTACCAAGTGCCAGGACTCTTGACCCCTTATCTACCTGGCTAATGGCTCTGTTCTCTGGTTGCCTTGTTGGTTGATCCCTTGAGGTGGTGATACCTATTGGTGATGGAGCAAAATGAGCAGTTGGTGGGTGGTCAGCAACTTGGCATGGGATGGGCCACTCACCAGCTTTACGACCTCAGGCAAGTCATTTTTACCTCCCTGGACCAGTATACTCATTACAAAATGAAAATCTGACCTAGATGATTCTAATATTGAGAGGGTGTGATTTCCATTAGATAGAGTCCATGATTCCTTTCTTTTTAAAATTGGCTGGGCATGGGACAAGGCCAGTGGCTTCAAGTGTTACCTAGGCTGGGGAGGAGGAAGGACATAGTCAAGATGCCACAGAAGCTTTCCAAGGGAGAAATGGTTTATAAGTGAGAATTGGTTTTCTTTCAAATATGTAATGGAGAAATGCTGGTGTCAGCAAATAGTGGGGTGACATCTATTCACGAAGAACCTGGGGTCAATCAGAGTACAAAAGAGGCTCTGAATGACCTGAATTTCTTGAAGGTTTTAGTTAATTCCTCACTAACAGGGCTTTGTTGAATTGATAACAACAGAATGAGTTTTTCCTGAAATGGAGAAGATGGAGTCACAGTAATAATAACTACCCAGTGTATATGTAAATCTCATATATCCTTCTTAACAGCCCTTTGGGGCAGGCAGTTTTGATCTCAAATTACAGAGGAAGAGAATGAGAGGCCCAGAAACCCTAAGTGATTTGTTGGTGAGTGCTTAGTTTGTGATTGGCACTGATAGGTTTAGAAACATTGTCTCTGGCCCTTGATGCCCAGCTTTGCACCTACAATCTTCAAAAGGTCTGGGAGGAAGACCAAGATATGAAGAGTTAGTGAAAGGCCAGTATTGGCTTCCTAGTAACATAAGATGGTTAGCGAGCAATGCTTAGTGGAAAGAGGATGAAAATTAAAAGTGAAAATTCAATGTAGCTGTAGCTACTAGGAAATAAAAATCTGGGAGCTGAATTTCCAGTTAAAGGAATACATGAGTAGTTTCACTTTCTTGAAAATGATGTAACTACTAATGATACATCATGATTTCTGATTGGAAATAATCAAGCAGAAACAAAATGCAAGTTCTTGGTAGCAAGTCTGAACAATTTTATGATCAGCATAGAAAGTCAACTCTGATCTGAGGTCCCCAAACAATTTTTTTCAATGATCAGGATGTTTGAGGATCTCAACTTTCTGAAAAATTGTCTGATGATTTAACTTCATTTCCTTGTGGGGACACAGCCTGAGTCTAGGCTGAATCATAACTCAAGAGACTGACTAAAGGAATAACTAGAAAGTATCCCAAGAAGTTAAGCTTTAGCCTAGTGCCAAGAAAACCCAGATCTCTACAGATACATCTGTTTTACTTTCTGAAAGACTTTTAACATTTTTACAACCATTTCTGTCCCCAAGTAAGCCCACCCAATGCTTTCCATAAAAGCATTCCATACCACTGACATTCTTCAGCTTCTTTCATTGGGACTGCTGACTTTACATAAGAAAAAGGGTCGGGATGGGAGTCACAAACAGCAGACCCCAAGCCCTGAGATCTCATTAATAAACCTAGTTGGGTGGCAAAATGGAACTACACTCTACTGCAGTGAAATTCAAAGTACCCATGTAGAAGGGAGCCATCCAGGCCTCCGAACAAAGACTAGCCCAGTGGTAGCTCTGAATGTCATCCCTGAATCACTGGGTTTTTAATAAAGTTGGAAAGGGCAGGGAAACATGAATGCATGGGAGAATCTTAAGCCTCTGGCTTTAGAAGTCTAGTTTCTCAGAGTTTATTGCCTGACAGTGACAAGTATCCTCCCAGCATCCTAAGATTATAGGATTAAACTGAGAGAAGAACTTCAGTTCTGACTCATGACACAGGGCTTTGGGAAAAGAATTACATACATAGCCTGGGTTTCTTTGACTAGTCAAGGGCAGCTTTCATTGGCCTGGAAGTCTTGCCTCCATTGGTGTATGTTAGATCTCTAGGGGGAGTTGAAGTCAGGGTATTCTATTCAGAAGCCTTTGAGATCAAAGAGGGTGACCAGCCACCCTCCCTCCTGGACCCCACAGAGCCTCTGTCAGAGAGCCAGCCCTGGGCTGGAGAGATCTCTGGGAGGCCTAGTAATCATGGAGCTCCTGGCCAAAGGAATGTTTTCCAGGGCATATTCATGTATTAGTTCCTCAATTCCTCATAGGATATTATGGGAAAATAGGGTGATTGTTACAAGCCCTCTTTAACAGAGGAGAAAAAGCCACTGGGAGGTACAATGATAACACATGATGGAGTAAGTGGGCTTCAGATTTTCATCTTCTGACCCCAGTATGAGAATTTTGTGGATAAGAGACCCACTTACTCACATTGCCAGAGGGCAGGTAGCAAGCAGCCTGGGTGTGCACCCTGACATAAAGATTAGCAGTTCATTAAACAGAGTTCAAGTTATCCCCAGGAATCTCTACTTAGCCTCGCCTCCATCACTTCATTTCCAGGTCTCCCACCTACCTTAAGGCCTGTCCCCCAAAAATTTGCTCTGGTTTTTTGTTTTGTTTGTGCAATATAACATAATACTGGTTTGTTTTTGTAATGTGTAATAATATTTGTTCATTTTTTGCAATGTACAAATTAAGGGCATGAATCCTGGAGCCAAACTAACTTAATTCCAAATCCTGATGCTGCCCCATATTAATTCGGTGACTTTGGACAAATGACTTAGCTTGTCTAAACCTCAGTTATCTCATCTATAAAAGGGGGCTAAATCCTAACTCACTGGGTTCTCATGAGGATTAAACGAGATAGTGCCCCTAAGGTTTCTGGTATGAAGGAGGCACTCCTTAAATGTTTGAGACTTGCCAGAGGGCTTCTTCGCTGTCTGGACTGTGCTAATGACCACAGATCCCTGGTGAGAGGAATGCCCAGACCACACTCATCCTACACTCATCCCTATACTCATTGCCCCTTGGAAACCAACTGCAGGGAGGAGGGAGAATGGCCACTGCTGGAGGGAGTACACAGCAGGCCAAGACTTATGGGGGACTCTTCCCAATTGGGTCCGTGTAACTGTCACTATTTCTACTCTTTTTTTTCCTTTTGTCATCCTTTTGGGTTCACTGAGCTATAGAATAATAGAGGGAGATGAATTTAGCAACTACATCGCTGAAGCTTCTCCCCCGGAAGTTGGACCCAAGCAATGGGAATGAGAAAGGTAATCTTGGACTATGAGGGGCATTTGATTTGATGGCCCCATCCCCACTTCATTTATTCAGTTGGCCAGTGAGGCATGGCGAGTCAGGTGCTGGGCCAGGCTCTGGGTAAAGCAATGGTGTAGACTCAATGCTGGCATTGGAGGAGCTCTCAGTCATTTACCAGACACAGACTGGGTCCTAGAGAGCTGAAGTGACTGGCTCAAGTCACTGCTCTTTAGTGCCAGAGCCAGCCCCAGGGTTCTCTGCCCCCACACCCAGCCTAAGTCTCTCCCTATACCACAGGTCTGAACAACTCCCACACAATACGGCACCTCACTTTTCTTTAAGGCCTTTTGCTTTGCCAACCTTAACCTTAAGAATCCACCTCCCCATCCCCTGCCAAAGTCTGGGGTGAAGAAACGCACCTGGCTACAGTTACCTTTCTCATTCCCACTGCTTGGGCCCAACTTCCGGGAGAGAAGCTTCAGAGATGTATTTGCTAAATTCAAGGATTCCCCACTTTTTGCTTTTACTTCCACTCACTGATAGTTTCAACTTGATGTCAAGCCTCTTTGCAAAAGAGGCTGAAAATGAGGTTACTCATGATTTTTAAAATGGCCTCACTGATTTTTTAAAAATGTTCTTCCTCTTTCAGGACTGTTTGAGGCCACATTTGCACATAGGCACACCAGCCAAAACTCATAGCTCTTGTGAATTCAGAGTAGCCTGAAACATCATCCCTAATAAACTTCAAATAAGCATTTTGTTCATGTCACTGAGCTGTGTGCATTTTAAGAACCTGTTTTACTTAAGATGAGGATGGCATGAAACAAAAACAAAACAGAAACCCAATGGCTTATGGGACTTTTCTCTGAGGGTGGGGTTCTGGTGTTGGAGGTCTGGTGGAGGAAAGGGACTTGATCCCATGCCCCAGAGCCCCTGAAACAGTTTGGGTTTCAATGTGTCTTTCAGCAAAATGATGCTTCAACACCCAGGCCAGGTCTCTGCCTCGGAAGTGAGTGCTTCTGCCATCGTCCCCTGCCTGTCCCCTCCTGGGTCACTGGTGTTTGAGGATTTTGCTAACCTGACGCCCTTTGTCAAGGAAGAGCTGAGGTTTGCCATCCAGAACAAGCACCTCTGCCACCGGATGTCCTCTGCGCTGGAGTCAGTCACGGTCAGCGACAGACCCCTTGGGGTGTCTGTCACAAAAGCCGAGGTGGGTTCTACCACAGGTGTTTATTCTTTTAGCACATGTTTTGCTCACAGCCACTGTGTGTTGGGCATGTTCTAGGCAGGGGGCTGTTGTTGAGAGTGAAACAAACGAAACCCCTGCCCTCAGGGAGCTTACCTTCTCCTGGGAGGAGACAGACAATACATAACATGTAAATACATTAAGAGATGAGTGCAAAGGAGAAAAAAGCAGGGAGTGAGGCAGAGAGAACAGGTAGGGGTGGGGTTGGTGGGTTTAAAAACTTTTCAGGCCAGGCATGGTGGCCCACGCCTGTAATCCCAGCACTTTGGGAGGCCAAAGTGGGATTATCGCTTGAGTCCAGGAGTTTGAGACCAGCCTGGGCAACACAATGAGACCCAATCTCTATAAAAATATTAGCTGGGCAAGGTGGTACATGCCTGTAGTCTCATCCACTTGAGAGGCTGAGGTGGGAGGACCGCTTGAGCCCAGGAGGTTGAGGCTGCAATGAGCCATGATCACCTCACTGTAGTCCAGCCTGGGTGATGGAACAAGACTCATTTTGCTTTTAGAGACGGTGTTGCTCCATCACCCAGGCTGGGGTACAGTGGGGTGATCACAGCTCATTGTAGCCTCAATCTCCTGGGCTCAAGCCATCCTCCTGCTTCAGCCTCCCAAAACACTGGGATCACAAGCTTGAGCCATGGCACCCAGCCGGGGTTGCTGTTTTAAATTAGGAAGTCAGGGAAGGATTCACTGATAGTGGCTTTTGAGCAGAGGTCAAAAGGCAAGGAAGAAGGAAAGAAGAGAGGGAAGAAGTCATGTGGGTATCTGGTAAAAGAAATTCAGGGCACTGAGGTGGGAGTATTGGTGCCTGGTGGGCTGTGCAGTGGGGCAGAGTATGGGGGTGGGAGATAAATAGGGGCTGGTCATATTGAGTCTTACAGACTATTGTTGTATAGATGTGGCCCTGTGCTCAGAGTGAGGTGGGAAACCACAGAAGGGTTTTGAGCAGAGAAGCAACAAGATTCAACACACACACACACACACACACGTACATTTTTTTTGAGATAGAGTCTTGCTCTGGCACCCAGGCTGGAGTGCAGTGGCATGATCTTGGCTCACTGCTACCTCTGCCTCCCAGGTTTAAGCAATTCTCATGCCTCAGCCTCCCAAATAGCTGGGATTACAGGTGCCCGCAACAAGTCTGGCTATTTTTTGTATTTTTTTAGTAGAGACGGGGTTTCTCCATGTTGGCCAGGTTGGTCTCGAACTCCTGACCTCAGGTGATCCACCCACCTCAGCCTCCCAAAGTGCTGGGATTACAGGCGTGAGCCACCATGCCCAGCCTTGATTTATATTTTTAAATGATCACCCTGGCTGTCATGTTGAGAATGGGCAGTAGGGGCAAGACAGAAGCTGAGTGCGCAGAAAGGAGGCCGTGGCAGGAATCGGCGTGAGTGGGTGTGGCGGGGGGCTGCGTCAGGAGGGAGCAGTGCAGGTGCGGAGAAGTGGTTGGCTTTGGATCTGACTTGAAGGTAAAGCGGATTTGCTGATAGATTGGATGTGGGCTATGAGAGAAAGGGAAGACTCAAGGGTGACTGAGTTTTCTGGCCAGCACAGCTGTAAGAATGGAGCATCCATTTGCTGCTGAGATTTGGGATTATAGGGGTTAGGGTGGTGGCAAGAGCAGGAGATCTGTCCTGTTCTGCACCCCTGTGGAGATGTCAAGCAGGCAGTTGAATAGGTGAGTCTGGAGTTCAGAGGAGAGTCTGGTCTAGAGATAATAGAGTTGGAAATTATCAGCATATAGATGGCACTTAAAAGCCATGAGTCAGGATGAGGCCACCTTCTGTGTCCAGTTGTTCTGAAGAAGCATGGAGTGTGGTGGTCCCTATTTGTATCACTACTAGGACCCGAGCACCTAGACAGTAGAGCAAGGACCAGGCAGCCTGCCCCACCCTTCCCTGTAGCAATGTTCACAGCCTTGGGACCAGGTGTTGCTCCAAGTTCACTTCTGTCTTACACACTTGCCCTGTTCCACACTTGGCAACCTTGCATAAGACCCCTGGAATAATAAACATGGTGAGAAGTCTGGGAGGCGGCTTCTGGTGATGTCATAGTGGCTTAAGGATGTCAGAACTGAGGTTCCACCATTTTATTGGCCTTTTCCTCGTGGTGGCAAGTGGAAGTGTTTCACGCTTACTAAACTGGCATGACTGCAGCCTTTGGGCAAGGAGTAGTGAGACTGACCTAAAAGATGGTCCTAGTTCACCACTTGCAGGTGGCACCCCAACATGGGCCGATTAATGCCACTTTGGTTGGGAATGGGCTTAGGTGCCTTCTCTGCAGGAGCATCATGGGCTTCTCCCAAATTTGGGAAGCTGGTGCTCTGATGCTCCACGTGAAGTCAGAGGTGAATGGGGTTTGCCCTTGGGTCTTGAATCGAAGAAGAGGCCGGGAGAGGGTGGCTAGGTGATGATCCTGAGGTCATTCCTGGTTCCCAAAGAGAGGAGATGTTTACCAAACAGAATCTGTTTCGGCTTTAAATGATTACGGTTAGTACCAATAGTTATCAGTTTGCATATTATCCTCGTCTCAAAATCCAAATGCATTTTCAAAATTGGCTAACTTTTAATTTACTAATATATTGCTGGTATAATTTTAACTTTGATTTTTATTCTTCACTCACGTGTGTGTGTGTGTGTGTGTGTGTGTGTGTGTGTGTGTAGGGGTTTTCACACAAAAGTCTAGAGCTTTATTTTTTTGGGGTCCTTTAGCGCTAGCACTGGACCTTGTCTGCCAGCTTTTGCTGGCAGTAAAAGGCAGTGTATTTGAGATAGGTGGCATTTCTTACTACCCTTTAAATGTGTCCCTTTTGGATTTTATAGGTAGCCCCTGAAGAAGATGAAAGGAAAAAGAGGCGGCGAGAAAGAAATAAGATTGCAGCCGCCAAGTGCCGAAACAAGAAGAAGGAGAAGACGGAGTGCCTGCAGAAAGTAAGTGCCTTCTAGCCTTCCCCTTCCTCTCGCTCATGCCTATCCTCACCAGCTTCATGTGGCTGTCAGAAGAAGAGTTAGAAAACCCCTTACCTGGTTATAATTTCCCAAGAAGGGCCTTGTAGCTGGTAGCAGAAATGCCAGTTGCAGAATAAGGAGGTGGCAAAGCAGTAAACACAATGGATGTGACTGTGGATATATAAAAGCAGGTGTGTGAATTCGTCTGATGCCCGACTCCCAGCAGCCTCGGCCAGTTCATACATGTCCATCAGCTTCCAGGCTGCAGGACATGCCAACCCAGTTAAAGAGGCTTCACTTGACTGTTTTTCTGAGAAAAGGAAGCTGCCAGCTCTCGTTTGGCTCACTATGAATAGCCTTTAATTAATCTCTTCAAACAAGTAATTTCCTTAATCCACAAGCAGTGGTTACATTTGCTTTGCATTCTTGTCTGTTTCCTAACTCTACAGTCCTTCTCCCTGGCTTAGCCAGCAAGCTGAGCCCCTGGCTGTGGTCAGCCGGCCCGCCTTGAGAGAGAGATAGCTTTTGTGGGTAGGCAGGGTGGCCGGTGGTGCCCAGCAGTCTTTCCAGTGGTTGTGTCCCTCCTCCAAATGCGGTTAGGCCAGGGCAGAGTCTTAACCCAGGTCCCACAGATCCCCAGAGTGTTATATTAATTGCTTCAGGGGATCAGTGAAAATTAGGGAATTTTGTATGTTGCCATATACATTTTTTCTGGGGAGATGAGCTTCTCATTGAGATCTGTGACTGAGAATCGACTAAGCCTCCATGAGTCTGGATTTCTCCCCAGCTCCCAAGGCCCTTTTGGGTTCTAGAAGACCTGCATATGGGCTGTTGACTCATGCAAATGAGGTATCTGAACTATTGGTTCCTCTGCAGCTTCAGTATTAGTAGAGTCACAGACCACCTCTGTGGCATCACCAGGGCTTCTCTGAAGAAGAGGGTCTGCATTTTCCTAAACCTAGTGCTGCTCTCCCATCTCCCATCTTCCTCTCCCAGCTTGATGGGCCCCAGGGTGTCCCAGGTGCACCCCTGCATCCAGGCAGCAGTCCAGGCCACTCTCTCCTCACTGGCCCTTGGCTCCTTTCTTGATGCCTCTGTTGCTTGTCCCCCAGGAGTCAGAGAAGCTGGAAAGTGTGAATGCTGAACTGAAGGCTCAGATTGAGGAACTCAAGAATGAGAAGCAGCATTTGATATACATGCTCAACCTTCATCGGCCCACGTGTATTGTCCGGGCTCAGAATGGGAGGACTCCAGAAGATGAGAGAAACCTCTTTATCCAACAGATAAAAGAAGGAACATTGCAGAGCTAAGCAGCCGTGGTATGGGGGCAATTGGGGAGTCCTCACTGAATCCTCATTTTATACCGAAAACCCTGAAGCCATTGGAGAGCTGTCTTCCTGTGTACCTCTAGAATCCCAGCAGCAGAGAACCAACGAGGCAGGAGGTCCTGAAATGACTCAGTGGGCCCTTCCCATTCTGCCCCAGAGTGGGTCTCGGACCAGGGCAAGTGCATCCTTGCCTCAACTCCAGGATTTAGGCCTTAGCACACTGGCCATTCTTATGTTCCAGATGGCCCCCAGCTAGTGTCCTGCCTGCCTTTCATCTGGATTCTACAAAAACCAGGATGCCCACCCTTAGGATTCATGCAGAAGTGTCTGTACCTTGGGTGGGAGGGATGGGGCCATCTCCTTCACCGTGGCTACCATTGTCACTCGTAGGGGATGTGGAGTGAGAACAGCATTTAGTGAAGTTGTGCAATGGCCAGGGTTGTGCTTTCTAGCAAATATGCTGTTATGTCCAGAAATTCTGTGTGCGAGAAAACTAGGCAATGTGCTCTTTTGATGTTTGTGTCACACAACACTGATGTGACTTTTATATGCTTTTTCTCAGATCTGGTTTCTAAGAGTTTTGGGGGGGTGCGGGGCTGTCACCACGTGCAGTATCTCAAGATATTCAGGTGGCCAGAAGAGCTTGTCAGCCCCTGGAGAACAGAATTCTCCCAGTGTTAACACAAAATCCATGGACAGCATGATGGCAGGTCCTCTGTTGCAAACTCAGTTCCAAAGTCACAGGAAGAAAGCAGAAAGTTCAACTTCCAAAGGGTTAGGACTCTCCACTCAATGACTTAGGTCAGGAGTTCTGTCTAGGCTGGAAAAGCCAAAGGATATTCCATTTTCCTTTCCTTGTGGTTAAAAACCACAGTCAGTGGAGACATATTTGGAAACCCCAGTCAGTGGCGCCTAGGTGGTGCCCAGGCTTCAGCATTATTGGATGTCAATAGCATTGTTTTTGTCATGTAGCTGTTTTAAGAAATCTGGCCCAGGGCGTTTGCAGCTGTGAGAAGTCACTCACACTGGCCACAAGGATGCTGGCTACTGTCTGTTAAAATTCTGATGTTTCTGTGAAATTCTCAGAGTGTTTAATTGTACTCAATAGTATCATTACAATTTTCTGTAAGAGAAAATATTACTTATTTATCCTAGTATTCCTAACCTGACAGAATAATAAATATTGGAACCAAGACATGGTAAACACGTGTTGTGTTGGTTTCTGTTCATTTAAATCTGTTGGCTGTTGAGATCTAGCCATTCCCTGCCTTTCCCTCCCCATTATGGGGGTTGCCTAGCTTTAAACTTCTCCAGATGTCATCCTTTGCTCTTTGGGGCATCACTAGATGGGATAGTTGACTTTCAGTCCTGTTCCTCAGTCTCGGGCACCTTCTGCTCAGTTTCTCATTGACAAACCCTGAAACACGGCACCAAACATATCCTTTAGATCAACAGTTTGGTGTTTAGAATTTTGATATAAAATCTGAATTGCTAGATACCTTAATTATTTTCTCAGAATGTACAAACACCTGAAACATACACCTACTGTTCAGCTTGAACCTTTGACCCCTAACATTCTGCCACAGAACTCCTCTCAGAGAGTTACTCACTTGAGTTACATCTGTTATGTCTAAATGTGTGTCTCATTGTTGGCAAATACATATCAGAAAAGAATGGGAAGGGGTACTGGAGGAAGAAAGAGAGAACCATTTTAGACAGCATGGGTGTGATAATTCAAAGAAAGGTATTCCACTGAATTTCCTGGAATTTCCAGGGCATATGATTCCTTAGGCCTGCAAGAGAGCCAGGCCCCCTTGCTTTTTGTGCTTCTCTATAAGGTTCACAGGCTAGACATAAAAACTGGCCACTTGCCACTGGTGCCATTCTTCAGAGAGTCACTGTCTTCATTAAATGTCAGATTCATTCGTGCGAATTCTGTGCCTACTTCTTTGACCTCATGTATGGTTCCTTTAAATGATCACTTATGACACAGATGTCTTCATTTTACTCTCTTAATCGCACATCAGGGGTCTTTCCTAGTCTGTCAAGAGCCATCTGATGTTAATACCATTCACCACTTCTTTCAGGAGATAATCTATGTTCCTTTTCTTGGTGGAGGGGAAAATGTCCCTTGCATTTACCTTCTAGTTATGGGTAGAGGCACCAGCCACCAGCCATTATAAAACACAAGACAATTTGTAAGCTGCCATGGACAACAATGGATTAGAGAGGAAGGAAGTTGGGGGCGGATGGTGGCTGTGGCAAGAAAACTTGATGTGTATGGTAAGTGTAAATGAAGTTCTGTCACAAATGCATTAAAAATTGTTTTATGTAGCCAAGGTTATGTTTTGATACTTTAATTTTAAAAAGGATGATGACTATGCATTTACCATCAAGTTATTTCGTTTCTTTTGTTTCACATTTAGAGGAAAGGGAAGGTGGGGGGATCTGAGAGAATAAGCTTAGATGGGGCCACCACCATTGTCAAGCAGCCGGTTTGACAGTGTCTTTGCACCGAGCTGTCTCCTGTTGGTAGTGGTGATGTCACACTGCCAGGGTGTGGAAAGCCACCCTCCCTTCCCTCTCTTGCCTTCCACCTGCCCCCCTGGCTTTCCCTGAGAGCTGGCCTGATACCTCTTTCAGAGTCAAGAGCTTTTAAAGGGTTCTGGCCCAGGGCAGGAGTTCTGGAATGGAATCTTTCCACTTTCTGTTAACTGAAATACTATTTTCCATCCGTATCCTAATTTCTCCCCACGGGCTTTGAATAAACCTTCAACACGCCAACCCATGTCAAGCTTTCTCCTCTCTTCCCTGTCCCATAACCTGTGGTTGGGTTCATGTACTGTTTCTTTGTGGAGTGAACAGTGTTTCCAATTAGAATCTGCCTGAAATGAGGCCACATTTGCCCACTGAGCATCCTGTGTTCTTATGGTGGTTGTCACTCCAGAAGATTTTAACACGGTCTCATCAAACACTGCTTTCAGGAAGGAATTTACACTTAAAAGGACTGTTGAGGACTAATGCTAACAGAAGCTAACATTTATTGAGTAGGACAATACACTAAACACTTCACATGTATTATCCCATTTAATCCTCACAACAACTGCTATCCCCATTTTACAGATGAGGGAGTGGAGAGCTCAGTAACTTGCTCGAGGTCTCACAGTGGATCTTTCCAAAGCTGAAGCCGATGCTTTTTTTCAACCGCAATGGTTTCAAACAAGAGTATATACATTTGTGTGTGTGTGTGTGGTAAAATATACAAAAAAATTGCCATTGTAACTATTTTGAAGTGTACAATTCAGTGACATTAAGTACTTTCACAATGCTGTGTAACCACTACTATCTAGTTTCAGAACTTTTTCATTGTCCCCAAAGGAAATCCTGTACCCATTAAGGAGTCACTCTTCATTCCCCTTCCTTCCAGCCTCTGGCAACCACTAATCTATCTTCTGTTTCTATGGACTTGCCTGTGCTGGATATTTTATGTAAATAGAATCATACAATATGTGGCCTTTCAAATAATATGGCTGGCTTCTTTCACTTAGCATAATATTTTCAAGTGTCAGCCTAGTGTATTATGTAATAGTGCCTTATTTCTCTTTATGGCTGAATGATATTCTGTTATATGGATACTCTACATTTTGTTTATCCATCAGTTGATAGACAGGTGTGTGTATGTTAAGAAAGAGCTAGCCTTTATCTTCAAGGACTGAATCTCTAAGGTAAGATTTCAGGCCTAATGTCAAGCTGGGAGAAAAGACAGTTGGAAGCAGGGGCTCCTTCTCAGAACTTCCAGGGAACAGCTTGGAAATAACTTATTCCTGGGCTAGCTCTGTGGGCACGGCAAGGCAGGAGGTATAGTGGCACCTGTTCCCCATGGGTGTAAATGGCTTCCAAACTACTTCTGCATGGTAGAGAGGTGAGTAGAGGAGGGCCTTTGGTAAGCTCCTGGAATGTTAGCTCACAATTTCCATCCTACCCTCTTCTCCTGGCATTTCACAGGGTAGGGGGTAAGAAGAGGCATGGGGCAAACACTGGGGGCCTTGAGAAAATATCTGGGCTCCCTGACACAGGATGTTGGTATAAACATGATGGAGGGGAGGAATAGAGGTGGCCCCCTGGATAATTTAATCCCCAACTCAGCGCAGCCCCTTCCTGAAGTGGTTGTCCTAGATTCTCCATAACATGCACACACACACACACACACACACACACACACACAGAGAATTAATTATGCAACTTATTTGGCTTGCCCAAGCTTTTTTTGTAAGTTCTGTAGTGGTTCAGAAGGAAGACTTTAAAAGCAGCAACACTTGTATTCAAATAATGCCTCCACTGCCTACAAGTTCTACGAATGTAAGTTACACAACTTCAGTTTTTTTACCTGTAAGATGAGAAGAGTTGCACTAGTATCAAACTGGAATGGAGTTTGATACATAGTATGGCACCTAGGAGAAGCAATCTCTCATGTTATTATTAAAGATTGAGGTTATTACTAAAGTTTTCCGTTGTCAGCATGAACTGAGATCTTTATGGAAGAGTGGGCTAAGAACCAAGACTGCCAATTCTAGGTTAGAAAAAATTTTAAACCATGTACTCAAATGGTTCAAATTTATCCCATTATCTTGCATTCCTATAGACCCTGTCTAGTTACTGAATCTTTTGAATTGGGAGTGAGGAAAGGGAAGCAACCACACAACATTTTTTCATTTGAAAAAATTTTATTTTGGCACCCACTTGAGTACCTGGTAGGGTGGGGCTGTCCTCTATGGGGGCAAAGGAGTATTAGTGAGGGGATCATGGCCCTGGCCTGGGGGATGACAACAAAGGGCTATGTGACAGCAACAGGTCACAAAGGGAAGCAGAAGATAAATATGGCCGCAAAGGGGGTTTAGGCAGAGAGGGTGATCACTTACTGTCACTAGAACTACAGTTTGTAGACTCTCAGGGAGAGAGACTACAAACTGTAGTTAAAAAAATCGGAGGTGGAGGTCAGGGGGTTAGACCCAGAAGAAAACCTCTCTGGAGCCCACCTTGCACCTCTACATCTTGGAAGAGTCTGCAGTTCAGGCACCCCACAGAACCCCCCATAGCAATCATCCGTACTCCCACCCCCACCCCGGCCTCTGGGAGGCTCTCAGGCAACAGCAGGGGCCTGTGGGGTGGGGTGGGATTGAGAGACAAGCTGCAGAGCCATCTTTGTGACCCAGGAGCACCACTGGTCCCTCATCTGCCACCGAGGCCAAGGAAAACCCAGAGACCTGCCTCACCAGCCCTGCCATCGTGCCGAAAGACAGCCATGAATGGTGATTCTCTGCTGCCGTATTATACGGCCCAGAGTGGCTCCAGCATGAGCATGTTCAACACCACCATGGGGAGACTGCAGCGACAACTGTACAAGGGGGAGTATGATATATTCAAATATGCACCGATATTTGAGAGCGACTTTATCCAGATCACCAAAAGGGGAGAAGTGATTGATGTGCACAACCGTGTCCGTATGGTGACCATGGGCATTGCACGAACCAGCCCCATCCTCCCACTCCCAGATGTCATGCTGCTGGCACGACCAGCCACCGGCTGCGAAGAGTATGCTGGACATGGCCAGGCCACCAAGAGAAAAAAACGCAAGGCAGCCAAGAACTTAGAGCTCACCAGGCTCCTCCCCCTGAAGTTTGTACGGATCTCTGTTCACGACCATGAGAAACAACAGCTGCGCCTGAAGTTTGCCACTGGCAGATCTTGCTATCTGCAGTTGTGTCCTGCTCTCAACACACGGGATGACCTCTTTGCTTATTGGGAAAAACTAATTTACCTCTTGCGGCCACCCATGGAGAGTAACAGCAGTACCTGTGGCATTCCAGCTGAAGACATGATGTGGATGCCTGTGTTTCAGGAAGACAGGAGGAGCCTGGAAGCCGTGGATCTTCAAGGAAAAGGGAATCAGGATCAGGTCAGCATCCGGAGCCTCCACGTGGCCTCTGAGGTGTGTGGGGCCACCTCTGCTGCTTATGCTGGAGGGGAGGGACTCCAACATGACTTTCACAAACCCACTAACGTGCTCAATGTGTCCATCCCCAAAACATCTACGGAGCTTGCTGAGGAGCCAGCAACAGGGGCAACTAAAGAGGCAGCAGCAGCAGGGGCAGCTGCAGGGACAGCAACAGGCACCATAGCAGGTGCCTTGAGTGTGGCAGCAGC